TTTTCCAAGAAGTTGAGAAGAGACCACTTCCGTACTCAACCTGTGAGGCCAGCACTACCCTGACACCAATGCCAAAGACACTATCAGAACACTACAGACCAATAACGCCTTGTTTACTTTGATGCAGAAATCCTCAACCAAATACTATCAAACAGAATTCAGCACATGAAAAGGGTTATACACCATGATAAAATGAGGTATTCCTGGAATGCAAGGATGGTCTGACACAAAATTAAGCTATTTGATGTGTCCTATGAACAGAATGTAGGATATAAAACACATGATACCTCAATTGATGCAGAAAAAGCATTTGACAAAAGTCAGTACCCTTTCATGACTTAAAACAACCTAGGAAGAAAACTATCTCGACACGATAAAAGCCATATATGAAGAATTCACAGTGAACATCATTCTAATGGTGAAAGACTGAAAACTTTCCCTCTACAATAAGGAACAAGGCAAATGCCCACGTTTACCACTTCTATTCAGCACGCTATTGGATGTTCCAGCCATAGCAGTTAGCCAAGACAAAGAAGAGGCATCTAAATAGAAATAGAATAAGTAAAAATTATCTTTTTTGTAAATAGTGTGGTCTTATATGTAGAAAGTCCTAGGGATTACACACACAAAATAAACAAATGATTAGAAGTAATAAATGAATTCCGTACAGAATACAAAGTCAATACACAGAAATCCATTGTATTTTTGTATGTGAACAATGAACAGTTTGAAAAGGAAATTATGAAAACAGTTGTATTCACCATAGTGTCAAGAAAAATAACTTAGGAGTTCCTAAGCAAGGAAATTAAAGACTTACACAATGAAACTACAAACCGTTGCTGAAAGAAATTAAAGACACATAAATGAAAACGCATCCCATGTTCATTGATTGGAAGACAATATTATTTAAATGCCTCTTTAACCCAAAGCTATTATACATCCAATGCAATCCATATCACAATTCTAGTGATTTTTTTTTTTTTTTGCATAGAAAAACCCATCCTAAAAGTCATAGGGAATCTCAAAGCACCCCACATAGCCAAAATTATCTTGAAAAAAACAAAACTGGAGGAAGCACAGTTCCTGATTTCAAAACATAACTGCAGATCTGCAGTAATGTAGACGGTGGGATTAGCCTGAAGACGGATATATATAACTCAACAGAAAGAAAAGAAAGCCCAGAAGTAAAGCATCACATACAGGTCAAATGATTTTTAACAAGTGTACCAGAACCATTCCATGGGGAAAGAATAGTCTTTTCAACAAATGGTGCCGAGGAAACTAGATGTCTACATGCAAAAGAATGAAGTTGGATCCTTACCTAACGCCATATTAAAAAATGAATTCAAAATGGATCAGTGACTTAAATTTAAGACACAAAACAATTGATGGCTATAAATAAAACAAACTTAGACAAGCTCAAGGAGATAAGTTTATTCAGGAATAGCAGAGGAACTGCAGTTCGGAACAAGCAACCTGTGGCGAGTCCGTTGAGGGGTTTTGGTAGGTTGTATTTATGCGCAGTGAGCTCAATTCATCCCATTTTGTGAGAACAATCCAGTTGAAGCCCTGTTCCATTCATGCCTCTGGCAAAACTTCCCAAGGTCGATACAGGACAACCTCTGATCATTCCTCCCCCACCCCCCCGCCAGAAGAAAATTTCAACACTATCCATTTCCTGTGAATCAGACATTTCTGAGAAAGCAGTCTTTTAGTCCTTAGGTTTATCTTCCTGGGGGCACATGTATGAGAATATCCTTCTTATATTTTCTAGTTCTTTTAGATTGAAATTCTTTCACACAGCAAAACCATTAAAAGAAAACACATGATTAAGCTTCACAACATTGGATCTGGCAATGATTTCTGGACAGGACACCAAAATCACAGGTAACAAAAGAAAAAGTAGACAAATTGCACTTAATTAACATTTAAAAATTTTGTGACTCAAAAGACACTGTCCATAGTAAAAAAAAAAAAAAAAAAAAAAAAAAAAAAAAAAAAAAAAAAAAAAAAAAAAAAGCAACCCACAGAATGGGAGAAAATATTTGCAGATCACATATCTGAGAAAGGGTTAATAACCAAAATATACAGACAATCCCTAAAACTCAACAACAACAAAAATCAAATATCCCAGTTCAAAAATAGGCAAAGGACTCAAATCGACAGTTCTTCAGAGAATATAGAGGTATGGTCATTGAGCACATGAAAAGATGCTGAACATCACTAATCATTAGGGAAATACAAATTAAAACTACAATGAGATACCTCCTCACCCATCAGTATGGCTACTGCCAAAAAAGCAGAAAACAGAATCACTAAATTCTACTCCTGAAACTAATATTATACTAGATGTTAACTAGAATTTAAATAAAAACTTGAAACATTAAAAAGAGAAAAATAAAAAATAGTAAAAAAAAAAGGGGGGGGGCTAGAAAATGAGAGTTGAAAGAGATGTGGGAAAATTAGAACCCTTGTGCATATAAAATGGTACAGTCACTGGGGAAAACAGTATGGCAGTTCCTCAAAAATTAAAAAATAGAATTACCGTACAGTCCAGCAATTCCACTTCTGGGTAGATAGCAAAAAGAATTGAAAGCAGTGTCTTGAAGAGATATTTGTACATTTATGTCTTAGCAGCATTGCTCACAATAGCTTAAGCGTGGAAGCAGTCCAAGCAAGTGTCGGTGGCCAGATGCATGAGCAAGCAAAATGTGGTATACATACAAAGTAATATTATTCCGCCTTAAAAAGGAAGGGAATTCTGCGATACATTACAACATGGATGAACCTTTAAAACATTGTGAAATAAGCTAGTCACAAAAAGACAAATACTCTTTGATTCCACTTATATGAGGTATTTAGAGTAGTCAGAATTATAACAAAGTATAATGGCAGATACCAGGTGGGAGGAGAAATTGGGAAATTATTGTTTAATGGTATAGAATTCAGTTTTATAAGATTAAAAGAGGTGAGGATGATGATGGCGATGGTTGTACAACGTCAGTGTATTTAATACCACTGAACTTAAAAATGGTTAAAACAGTAAATTTTATATTAAGTACTTTACCACAGGAAAATTTTTTAGAAAATATTGCAAGTTCATCTCATTATCATCTGTATTATGTTCCAGTCTGTTCTTTATGCCACCACCAAATTAATCTTTCTAATACTGCTTTGTGTCATTTCTGTGTGCAAAAATTTCTCTTGGTCTCTGGTTCTACCCTCTGTCTCTCTGTCCTTACCTCCTACTGCTGTCAAAAGCATCCTCTGTCTTACCTAAACTAATTACTTAACTTTTTCCCAAACCTATCTGTGCCCTTTTGATGCTTGATATGCTTGCTTTTCCTACCTTTAATGTTCTTTCCTCCTTTTTCCCTTCCCTCTCCTAATGTGTAAATCTTTTTGAGGACCTACTTAAATTTGAACCCCCTAGGAAATGTTTCCTAATTGCCCCACTTGTGGTGGCTTCTCTTTCTTTTAAAGACCTATGACATTTATTGTTTGAAACAGTTCGTTTAGTAATTGTCACTGGTTGATATATGTTGGTGTGTACCTGTCTCATTTCCCCAAGTATCTCCAAACTTAGTGGGCTCAAAGCACTATCTTAAAATTATTTGTATTACCCATTTAACTTAAAATGAATTGATTAATTGATATTTTGTGAATAATAACAACTAAAGATGATATTTAGTGAATTCCAGACCTACTTGTCAGAGTCAAGAGCATCTGGTGATGTTTGTGCAGAAGATAAACTTGGTATTGTGATTGGGTACTAGACCTTGTTAAATTTTTCTAGAGCAATTAAACGTGGTACCAGTAGGTTGTCTGCCTATCAGGATAACTTTGTACATATTTCAGGCCAATAAAATAATTTTGAGAAATTTGGAATCTTAATTTGTCTCCCTGTAATACTGTATCAGAATAAGTATTAGTATTTTTATAATTATGTAATTTTATAATTATATAATTATATAATCATAATTATCTTTTATTCATGTGCTGGATTAAATAAACTTAATTATGGAAATGGTTTGCTAGGTCAGTATTATAATGCTTATAAAGATTTTGTTTTGGTTTTAAGTCAGCAGTTATGTGTTACTTTACTGTCATGCTGCATTTGCTCCATATGGAAGTCAAGTTTTAGGTTTTTGTTTAAACTATGGAGCGCCAGGGTGGCTCAGTCGGGTGAGCATCTGACTTCGGCTCAGGTCATGATCTGATGTTCATGAGTTTGAGCCCCGTGTTGGGCTCTGTGCTGACAGCTTAGAGCCTGGAGTCTGCTTCAGATTTTTGTCTCCCTTTCTCGCAGTCCCTCCCCTGCTCATGCTGTGTCTCTCTTGTCTCTCAAAAATAAATAAACATTAAAAAAAACTTTTTTAAGTAAATAGTTTGCACAAAAGTTTCTGTTTCGTCGGCTCAAACTCACAAAACAGTGAGATCATGACCTGAGCCGAAGTCAGACACTCAACCGACTGAGCCCCCCAGGCACCGTGTGTGTGTGCATTTATACACACACATGCCTTCTCTAGGGTTGTAACTAGGATTTTGAAGTAGTAAAGGAAATTTGTTGCTCTTAAGAACCTGTAGAGAATATTTGGGTGACTTATGCCCTCTGTTAAACACCGGGAAAAATAGGTGAGTATTATTCCAAGAATTTTAATGGGGAATGTGTTTATCATGCACACAAAGCTAAATAATGGATTAAATTTTTGACCTACTACAATAGTACTCACTTTAATCAGTACTTTTTTTCATAAGTTATGGTTTCACCCATTGTTTTTGGAGAATCTAGTTAGAATGTAAGTTAAGTTGCTCAAGTGTAGGGATTTGATCTTATACTTCTTTGTATCCTCAACATCTAAACCAATATCTTTACATCAGAGTGCATCAACAAATGTTAAGATGATAAAATATCTATTTTTCTGGCTTTTGGGGTGTTTGTTTTTCTTGTGGGAGAATGACTTTACTCTGATTTTACTCTATGTGTTTTCTTTTTGCAGCCCCATTGACAAACCTTCAGATTCTCTCAGTATAGGGAATGGTGATAATTCACAGCAGGTAAGACTCTTGATTCTCTACTTCGTTTATATTCCATTCTCTTGAAACAAAGCATTCTGTGCAAGTGAATTTTCTGGATAGTGGAAAGTACTTTACTGAAACAATTTAAAAATACTTTTAGTGGATATCCTTTTTTAAATGTAGTATAATGAGGGGCGCCTGGGTGGCGCAGTCGGTTGAGCGTCCGACTTCAGCCAGGTCACGATCTCGCGGTCTGTGAGTTCGAGCCCCGCGTCGGGCTCTGGGCTGATGGCTCAGAGCCTGGAGCCTGTTTCCGATTCTGTGTCTCCCTCTCTCTCTGACCCTCCCCCGTTCATGCTCTGTCTCTCTCTGTCCCAAAAATAAATAAACGTTGAAAAAAAAATAAAAATAAATGTAGTATAATGAATCTTCTTTTCCTCCACAGAATTACTGTGTAAGAGCATAACTTAACCTTTTCTTGATGACTCAGATTTATCCTTATGACCACATGTCATATTGTATGGTATCTCAGTATTTTAGTGTCATATGAGTCTGTTGATACTACTGGTCTTTTTGACCATCTACAAAATGGTCTCAGACTAGCATGCCACCTTTATTCTTAAGAGTTATTTCTCTGCTGTATACCCCCCTTGTTGCTTATTGTCAACTTTAATCTTCTGTATCTCGCAGTGTCCTTGCCTCCAACAGTTTGCCCCTATCCCCGAATGACTGTGGGCTTTGAAATAACAAACTAAATAGTTAAGTTCAAAGTTGTATCCACAGTGAAACTGAGTGAGATTCTGATCTTTGTGTCCTGCTTTGTATCATCTTGTCTATTTGCTAGTTTTTCATTGCATAAATCTCTGTGCGTCTTCTTACATGGGCATAGAAAAATGTAGTTCTAATCTGTTCCATAAAGACTGGCTAGTTCCCCACAATGTTTTTGAGAAACTTAGAGATCTAAAATACACTGCTTTTGGGGTGCCTCAGTTAAGCATCTGTCTGACTCTTGATCTCAGCTCGGGTCATGATCTCGTGGTCATGGGATTGACCCCTGCATCAGGCTCCGTGCTGAGTGTGGAACCTGCTTGGAATTCTCTCTCTCTCCCTCTCACTCTGCCCCTCCCCTCTCTTTCTATCCTCTTCTCTCTCCAAAGAAATAAAGATTTTTTTCATAATAAGTTAAAAATAGTTGTAAAGGATGTAATTTTCAGGATATTATAAATATTGGTGTTTTTAAATAAATGCACTACATTGCTTTTTAATAAGTTTCTAAGAGATTCAGATATCAAAATGTGTTGTTGCTCTGTCCTTCATTTAAAAAAATATATACATGCTATTTTTTTTTAACAATCAGAAATTTTACATCATTCCTTGTTCCCCTGAACTCATTTGTCTGTTTCCACTGCCATTATAAAATATTACCTTAATACAACATAGTTTGTTCTTGACAGGCATATACTTCTCTTAAATAAAAATAGACATGAATTTTGAATTGGAAAAAAATGTTTTTCTGACACAAGGCTAAAAAATGCCAATTTTCTTTCTTCTGAAATTTTTTTAAGTTTATTTATTTAGAGAGAAAGAAGCACATGCAAGCAGGGAAGGGGCAGAGAGAGAGGGAGAATGCCAAACAGGTTCCATGCTGTCAACACAGAACCTGAGGCAGAGCTCAATCTCATTGACCGTGAGATCATGATCTGAGCTGAAATCAAGAGTCAGACACTTACCCAACTGAGCCACCCAGGCACCCCTTTCTTCTGAATTTTTATTTGTAGTTTTGATTTGATCAAAGCAACTTATATAAATACAGAATTTGATAAAAATTTTAAACATAAACACTAGTATTGGACATTTATCTCTTAACGAGATAGAGCTATTTTAAAATTGGTTTTCATGCATCCATAGATGAATATTACCTGTTGGTAAAGGAGACAAGTTTTAACTATATTGTTAGCCATGTTTTCATTTTATAACGTCAGTGCTGAGGTGTCTTGTTTATATAGGTGGGGGGGAAGAAAGAGTGTTATATCAATATTGAATTTTTGAACTCCTTCTATGAATTCAATACCTAAGAGTCATATAAAGATTGAGGCACCTGGGCGGCTCGGTCGGTCGAACGTCTGACTCTTGTTTTTGGCTCACGTCTTGATGTCACAGTTCCGTGAGTTCAAGCCCCACATCTAGCTCTGCACTGGCAGGACAGAGCCTGCTTGGGATTCTCTCTCTGCCCCTTCCTTGCTTGCATTGTCTCTGTCTCTCTGAAACTAAATAAACTTAAAATTTTTTTTAATTAAAAAATCATATAAAGGTTTATCATAAAAATTATTTTTCTAAGTGTTTATTTTTGAGAAAGAGAATGTGAGCAGGGGATCAAGAGAATCTGAAGCGGGCTCTGTGCTGACAGCAGACAGCCCAATGCAAGGCTTGAACTCATGAACTACAAGATCTTGACCTGAGCTGAAGTCGGACGCTCAACCAACCAAGCCACCCAGGCGTCCCAAAAATTATTTCTCTTAAAGATTTTTTTTTAAAGTTTATTTACTTATTTTGAGAGGGAGGGAGAGAGAGCAAGTGGGGAGGGGCAGAGAGAACATCCCAAACAGACTCCGTGCTATTCTTATGGAGACCCATGCAGGCCTTGAGCTCATGCACCGTGAGATCATGACCTGAGCCGAAATCAAGAGTCGGTCACTTAACTGACTGAGCCACCCTCCTAAAAATTATTTTTAATGATGTTTTAGAAATAACTTGATTAGATCTTCTTTCCATTTTGTTCTTAAGTATTGAGAATCACGTAGTTTGCAAAAGAATCAGGTCATTAGTCACTTATCACCGGTCTGAATATTTCTAATACATTTTTGTTGCTCTCAGAAAGTTTTCACTTTTGGTCAAAGAGTGAGAAATACTCTTTTCTTTATAAAGTGAGAGAAGGTAAGTTCTGAAAGGAGAGGAGACTGACTTAGTCTTTTCAAGGAGGGTCAATCCAAAAAAAAGAAAAATGGATTTTTATTTGAAAATTCATGTTCTCATAAAGTCTTAAGCACCCCAGTTTGAAGACCGTTGTTCTAATATCTTTTGTTGCAAGCCTTTTTAATGATGGCTTATTAAAGTATATAAACTTAATATTGATTATTCTTTTCCCTTCCTATTTTATTTAGATATCTAACAGTGATACGCCTTCACCACCACCTGGTTTATCAAAATCCAATCCTGTCATCCCCATCAGTTCATCCAATCACAGTGCACGGTCTCCTTTTGAAGGGGCAGTAACTGAGTCACAGTCGTTATTCTCAGATAACTTTCGCCATCCCAACCCGATCCCAAGTGGGCTTCCTCCTTTCCCCAACTCCCCACAGACGTCCAGTGACTGGCCTACAGCACCAGAGCCACAGAGTCTCTTCACATCAGGTATACGACAGAACTGCTGCATGTGAATCATTTTACTTAGACTGGAATGAGACCTCATGGATGTGTTTTTACCCCTGTCCCCGCTCTTGCTTTTTCGTGCAGTTGTAAACATTTAAACTGCGTGGAATAAGATAGCCAGATAAGTAGTTGTATGACCTAGAACTTACTGTGTTAACAGATATCTTCAGAAATGAAGGGTTAGATCATTTTTCTGATAATAAAATGCTTATTCCTCTAGGAATTATTAAGGGCTGACCTATTTAATCATATTTGTGTTTACATATTTAAATGTAAGATTTTTTTTTTTATCCAGATGACAGAGAGGTATGATAGTTAATATTGAAGGTTATATTTTGGCATTTTTGAGCTATTTTCATTTCTATTCATTGTAAGTTTTATTAATGTGAAGGACGCCATAAAGTTAACATTGACAATATAGCACCTATTATGAGTGGAGCAGACAGTTTTAAAAAATAATAAAATTTAAGTAGATACTTTTTCATTAAGTTACGTTATTTTTTCCTAACAGTATATAAAGCATATATTCAAAATTACTTGGACTTTGTCTTTGATAAATATATTTTTAATTTTTTTTTTTTAACATTTATTTTATTTTTGAGACAGAGGGAGACAGAGCATGAACTGGGGAGGGTCAGAGAAAGAGGGAGACACAGAATCTGAAACAGGCTCCAGGCTCTGAGCTGTCAGCACAGAGCCCAACGCGGGGCTTGAACTCACGGACCGTGAGATCATGACCTGAGCCGAAGTTGGTCGCTTAACCGACTGAGCCACCCAGGCTCCCCGATAAATGTATTTTTAAAAGTAAACTTTACTAATTGAATTCTGTTACATCACATTTGTTACCTTATTTCATTTAAATGACTTTCTCCAGGTTTGGATTATGAACAGCTGAAAGTATAATTTGGGTTTCAAGTACTTTGTTTTCTTTGATTAGTAAAATCAGTTTCTGTCATTCAGTTTTTTTGAAGTTGATAAGAATGGAATCATTGCTAAAAGTATATGAGGATTTTTATAATGTTATAATTTTAACGTGCTAAGAAATCATACAAATTTTGGTTATATTTGCCTTTATCTTGTAATATAACATGTTTAACTTTCACTAGTGTGGACACTCATTAAGTATGCAAGTAAACTATGTATTTAAAATTCATCACTAATTGTCTTCCCGACAGAAACAATCCCGGTATCGTCCTCCACAGACTGGCAAGCAGCATTTGGCTTTGGTTCTTCTAAACAACCAGAGGATGACTTGGGTTTTGATCCCTTTGACGTCACTCGAAAAGCCTTAGCAGACCTGATTGAAAAGGAACTGTCAGTCCAAGACCAGCCTTCCCTTTCGCCCACGTCTCTTCAGAACTCCTCTTCACACACTACAACCGCCAAAGGTCCGGGCTCTGGATTCCTGCATCCTGCTGCACCGACAAACGCCAACTCTCTCAATAGTACCTTTTCAGTCTTGCCACAGAGGTTCCCTCAATTTCAGCAGCACCGAGCAGTTTATAATTCATTCAGTTTTCCAGGCCAGGCAGCCCGCTATCCTTGGATGGCCTTTCCACGCAATAGCATCATGCACTTGAACCACACAGCAAACCCCACCTCAAATAGTAATTTCTTGGACTTGAATCTCCCGCCACAGCACAACACAGGTCTGGGAGGGATCCCTATAGCAGGTAGGTTCATTTATAGCCTTTGAGAATTTGTGAATATCTCATGCCTTCAGGTTGTTGGGTGGGTAGGGAGAGAATTTTTGAATAACAGAGTACTTACTATTCTTGGAAATTTCTATGGGGAAAAAAAAAGTCCTTATAATCTAAAAAAAATTTAATTGGATGGATGCCTTGTAATATTGAGCTTTATAAGGATGGTGGAGTATTATAACTAGTTATAACTTGGAAGCATTTTATTTAACAGAGTAGTCACCAAACTTCCATATGGAATATAAATGCACAAAGAAAAAGAAAAAAAACGGACTCTGAAATTATGGTGCTATAAAGTTCAACACCATGGTAAAAATTCTGATTATACATTCTAAAAGTAAAATAATGAAAAAAAATATTTTTTAAGATGGTAATTAGTGAGAGCATGAGGGATAAAGCCATTCTGTAACTACTTTTGGTACTTATTTTGACTGCTAGACACGCGCACACACACACAAACTGTGCTTTATGTTAGTAAAGTACTTAATCTTTGAGAACTCTGATTATTCATGTTTCACAGACATATGTGTATAAGTATACTTTCTGTGAAAAAGCAATTGCTGAAGGAGAGATATTTTCCCTTTTTGTCTGTCATGTTTTTATTTCTGGGAAAAATATTTGGTTCCTATAAGTGGTACCAGAATACTTCTGGTTTTATACTGCTACCCTTGAAGGTTTCAGAACTTTTGGGTTTTAAGGTCCCATATAACATTTACTAGATCAACTGACTTCTTTGTCTAAAGGAATCCTTCTTATTAATAGGTTTTGGTTTTTTTCAGTTTATTTAATTCGGACTTTAGAGATGACTGGTAAGAGAGAGAGTTTGTTTCTCTCCCGATTCTCTCAAGTAGAATAGAATAGTCCTCACTCTGTTACATAATTAATAAAATTCATTTTTATCCCTTGTCATGGCCTTTAAGATACGGCACGGCACAGTGTTATCGTAATAACGTGCTGTTACCGGCAAGTCGTTCGTTCTCTTGTGTCTAGCAAGGTTCATAGGTAAATTTGAAGAGATCCATCAGAGTTCTTTGACTCTGTTCCCTTTGTGACCAACGACATTTCATTTCATTTTCAAGACAAGTAACTGAGTTCAGAGAATATGGTTTGTGGCTTTTGATACAGTGAATCTAACAGTTGATACAGCGAAGTTCACTTACATGAGCATGATAGCACCAATGTAGTGGTTCGTGTCTCGGTGGAACTCATGATGTTTGTTCATTTGATTATGGCAGTTTGTAGGTAATTCTGAGTGGCATTTTTCAGTCCTCTCCTTCTACATGATATTCACTTGTGAAACACTTAGGTATTCAGTTCCTGATACTGCTTTTTTCCCTTCCATTCAAGACAGCATATCAGAGCGTAATTTTATTTCGTTTTGCTTCAATCATTTAGGAACGTGGCATGTAATGACTGGTAGTGTATCTCATAACTGATTATAACATTAAGAGTTAAAGTTAAGTTCCCCGAAATATCCTTAACATTTAAAAATAAAATATTAAATCAATTATAATGAGTATTTGGGATACTGTTTGCCCAACAGAGAAGTAGGCCATATGGGTAATACAAAAGAACTATAAAATATGGATACTATTTCCAGGTATTTTGCAGTATAGTTGAAGAAATAAAATTAATATTATGTATGAAAGCGGTGACTATATGATACTGGAATATGAGAGACCTCAGTTGAGCCTTTAATTATTGGGGAGGCTTCTTGAAGAAGTAGGAATTGATCTGTACTATGGTATCTTGGATTTGGGTTAGTGGGGAAAAGAGAAAGATCTTTTATACTGATGGGACTCCTTAGTAAAGGCGTAGAGGCAGGAATTCGCCTGTAATTTCATTAAGAAGCAATAGAACTGCCTTCAGTAACGGGAGGTGCTTCATGTATTGTATAAATAGAATGGATGAGAACATGGGGAACTCTGACAGCAAGGGTACAGTGTGCACTTGATACAATAGGAAGAAGGGTGCCTTTGTGGGACTCTAGTTCTTAGCTGTCTTCATTGTGTACTTTTCTTTGACTTATTACATGACCATCTTCAGTAAGTTATCTGTTCTTCTGATTTCACAGTTATCATATTGTCCATCAGCATAAAAACAATCTTAACCCAAATATTTCAAACCCGTATATATTATGAAAATGCCACAGTGGGAAGGAATAATTACAGATTTGTGAGTGTAGTTGTCCTCGTGTTAATCATTTGAAATCTTCATCTAAACTAGATATTTATGAAAAAAAAGACAAAAACGTGGCATTACATTATGGTCCTCTTTTTGTGGGTTTTCCTTTTAACATATACTCAACCATAGAGCCTAAAATACTTTTTTTCCCAGAAATTCTAAGAATGAAGTCACCACCTTGTAGGTTCTGAATCATTGTCGTGTTTTGTGGGAGGTTGGGAGAGCTTGTTATTTCAGGTTTTCCGTTTTTGACTCTGCATACTTGTTTGGTATTTAAATGGTGACTGATGATTAAGCTTCTTTATTAGATTATTTTCAAGTCTCTGATGACAAGAGAAATTTTAGTTTTAATGCACCAAAATATTTAAAATTGTTATCAAGAGTTACACAGAATACTCTGACGTCCTATAAATATTTGGCAAATACCTCAGGAACCTGAATGTGCTAAGCCTCAAAACTGAATAGTTTTATAATTGTAGCCAGATGATCTGGGATTTTTAATACCAATTAGAAATGACAGAAATAAAATTCTGGAAAACTATATACATTTTAACTGTGTAATATGAAGCAAGTTAATACCTAGGCAGTATCTACCTTCCCCACCCCTAGTTGTAACTCATTTGTACTTGAGTTGAACTATTGAAATTAGGTTCAACTTTGTATCCTGCAATGAATATCATGGTGTCTTATCAGGGTATATATTGGTTAAGTGCTTCATAATGGAGAGTACATACTCTTTCTATGATACCTGCCACTTTAAGATATGCTTAGACAGTACTCAACACTGGAAAAGGCACGTCTATTTATTTATTCTTTAGATACCTAGAGCAAAACAGGGTCCCTGACCTTTACAAGCACACAGTCAGGTGTCAGTCACCTATATATCCTACAGATACCATGTCTCTATGTGTTATATATTTGTATTTAAGTGTTTAGTTTTTGTTTCAGTTAAATTATTAAAAATTTATGTATCTGAAACCTATCACGGGAAAGACAGTTGCCAGAGGTTTGACAGAAATGCAGCTTCCATTTCTTTTGCCTAAATGAAAACACTTTTTTTTTCATTGAAAATTAGTTATTTTCTTAATTAGGCGAAAATTTTTTAGCAGCATTTTCTTGGCTGCACATCCAGTTTGCTAAGCTTAGAAGGACTTTTGAAATAAATATTCTTGGTGGAAAACTTTGATTAGTGGGCAGTTATAGTAAGTCCATTTAGATCTTTATTATTGACACTGTGTGCTTTTAAGAAAAGACTTTTCTTGTCCTAAAAAGTGACTTACCTTATTCAACTCCTTCATTTTAGAAATACTAGAGCTATGTTCCAGAAAGGTTAAATAATTTGTTAAAGGTCAAACATTCAATTAGTAGTAGAATTGGGATAAGTACTCAGATCCCACGTTCAAACTGAAATGTTTCACCACTGCAACATAGATGCTCTTCTTCACAAATGAAGATCACTGGCATGTACTTTGAACTTGGCTTTCTTCCCATAGTAATTGATTTATGCTCTCACACACTTGCAGATCCCTTTTCATCAGCAGTATCCATTCATGAGACAATTGGCCCAGCTCAGGGATATGGCCTGTAGTTACAAAGTAGAATGAAGTTTATCGACTTCATAAAAATTAATCTCTTGCTCAGTCCTTATCAGCAACATGTTCTCACCAACAGCTCTAGTAGTCTAAAATTTCCTTTACACAGCCTCCTTTGCTGTATACTTGGAGTTGATAGAATCTTTGCCAATTTACTGAAAAATAATGAAAGAACCTGCTCTAAAGGCCAGAGGTCTTTTTCTTCATGTCGTCCGTTAAATCTGCCAGTTAAGTATTTCTAAATGTAATTTTGCAGATTTGTTTTTCCAAGAACTCTCTGCCAAGATGTTTTTATCCATAATGCTAAAAATTATTTGGAAAACAATCATAGTAAGTCTCAGTCTGTAATCATTGTTATTTTAAGATATACTTAGAAAAATATTTGAAACTGTTTAGGATTGGATTTTTTTCATGTTTTTGTGCATTCAGTTTTACTTGTGAGAGGACATTTTTCTTTAAATATGGTTACTGAATTAGCTATTTTAGCAGTGACTTGATTGAATTTTGAGTCATGTGTGAAACAAAGTCACTTGTACAGTAATTATCAATTATAATTAGGAGAACTGATCTCATTTCATGTATAGTTCTCTGACCTAGAAGTAGTCATCTTTGCTTTCAGTCAATTGGATCATTGTATTACTAGCATTTCACTATTTTCTCATTACTTCAGAAGTGCACATTGAATATTCAGATGCTATATGGTAATTTGCTGAGTTAATATTTGTATCTTTTTATTTCTTTTTTATAAACATAATTTCTGCCTTTAAAACATGGGTTTGTCATTTTTCCTTTTAAAAATCATGTTTTCACATCTGTGAATTTATTTTTAATTTTTTTCACAAAATTCTATTACTGTTAGAGGAGTATCTGAATTTAAAGGGGGTCCAATTGGCTTGGAAAAGAATGGCTTTCCTGGTCTCTTTTTTTTCCTTTTTGTCTATTTATAGTCCTAAATCTATTATATTTGTTCTTATACCTGACATAGTATTAAATTGAAGGGTGTGTTTACAGTGTAACTACTTTCTAGGTACTTGATAAGTTTATATTTTGAAATTCATGTCTTGTTTCACACCCAGATTCCAGCCATTAAGCATGTATTTTATATATGTATCAGTATTCCAAATATTGAAATCATTTTTAAAGGGACTGTTAACAAATCTAGTCACCCATAACTAGACCATGACTGACTTTTCCACA